TAAAATCATTTCTTATTTATCATATTTATTATTGTTTAATATGTCGAATATATGATGTTAAAAATGTTTCCATTTTTTTAATTTCTATATTTTTTTGCATTTATCTATTTTTGAATTTTATTATTTAATTGTGGCGACATGGTTGGTCGATTTGACCCGAAATGGTTTAATTTCTTACCACTGCCTAGATGAAAACACCATTTTTTTCAAGTAGATTTTAAAAGTATGTTTTTATGTTATTGGAATTATTAATTTATTATGTATATATTTAATTAATAGAAATTAATGATGAGAAGAAATAAAAATGCCTTAAATATATGATTCAATGAAGATGAATGCAAATTAATACCATATAGTAAAATTTTCTTCATTTTCTCATGGCCCCAAACAACATGACAAATGGTTACAAAGCTTGGTAGTTTGATCTCTAGGTTTTATTATGGGAAAATTTTAAAAAATGCTCTTATGGTTTCCAATAAATACTCATTGTTCCATCTCAATTTGGAACAAATACAAATGTGTATAGTATAAATACATAAAAAATACAAGGTTTTACACTCTACATATTTGTATTTGTATTCCTTCCAAATTGAACCAGCAGAAAAGGGGTAAAGCAAGTTGTCCTATTTTGCTGCTATACATGATTAACCTTGAGTCTCAATCTCTCTTATTCTTATCAGACAACATGTTGAGATATTTGTAGAAATATATACTTATTCACCCAAATGTGATTGCACCTTTTTTTACAGTGTTGCACTTAATTGATTCAACTCAAATCAAACTATATTTTGTCCTAGTTAGTGCTGCAACTTGGGCGGGCCTAACCTCACCCAATCCTAATTTTTGCATGGATTGGGACTGAGTTTTTGGGCTGCGGGTTGTATCTAGGCCAGAAAACTTGGGTCTGATCTAAATTTGGGTTGGACTTTTTGCATATTTTTAATCAATTCAATTCTTAAATTGAACTATAAAGCTCAACAAAAGATGGCTATACAAAAATAAATTCATATTTTTTATAAACTTAACCAATCTGTTTAAGCTCAACTAAGTCAGACTCAACTCAATTCTAACTTCGAAGTCACTATCCTAAATTTCATAAAATAAATATTCAAAATTGAGGTTGGTAGATAGGCACTCAAACGTAGGAAGTTTTGGGCTCTGATGTCTGTTCATAGTACAAATCCAGCCCATTTTTGAACAGCCACACTAAGTTGTATAGATCCCCACTCATTAGCTAGTGATCACCTAGATTATTATTAGTAGATTAATGAGGCAAGTAGATGTTACTTAAAAAATGAAAGAAGACAGGAATCAAATTGGAAATGATGGATGAAAATGCATACGGAATGGATGAAATTGTCATTTTCAATATAGGTATAGGTATTTATGTTGATAAATATATGGATATGGAATTGGGAAGAATGAATTTATGGGAGTAAAGAGTGGAAAGGTAAAAAAAAATTGATCATTAAGAAAACGTGAAACTGTTAATTTTAATATAGGTGATAAGCATTAAATGAGAAAGAAAAATCATTTCCTAATAAGCATTAAATGGAACGGCAAAATCACATATTTACCATTGATCCTTCTCCGATTCAAAACTTAGAAATGAGGCATTTACGTCTAATAAAAATTCCAAAAGCCAATTACATCTATTCATACTTTTATAAATATTATACATAGATATGTGCATAATTATGTAATATGTACAATAAATAGTCATTAATTAGCATAAGGAAAGAGGTGATTTAGTGGTAATTAAGTAATCTGTGGAAATAAGAGGTTTTGGGCAAATCCAGTTATTGGGGTGTGACCGAATCGGTCAGGTCCCCGGTCATTATTCAACCGATTTGACTGGCCCATCCGGTCTGGTTTTCTAAACACTGAATAAAATAGAACTGATTGTCTGGATGGTTTCCAGGCTGAGCGGTCCTACCGTTCGGGCCAACGACGGTTACAAAATCATTTCTTAAAAGGAGTGAAAGTTTTTTTTTCCCAACAGCGGATCATTAATAGTTAAGATTAGATTTTTCGTAATACCACTATTACCCATAGATTTATCGAATTCGAACAGAACTGGTTTCTTCATTGTTGATTCTCACCATTATGAATAAGGATTCCGGTGAATTGGTGGTGCGTTGTCAGGTTCAAATATTTCTCCGATGATGGCTGATCATATTTCCCAGAAATCAGATTAGCACCGACAACGGTGGAGCCACCATACTTTCAAAGTCATCTATGAAGGAGAAATTGGATTAGGACCAATGACCGAAGAATGTAATGTTGATGATGCTGGAAAAGGAATTCAGGTCCCAACTGTTGGGTAGAATCTGAATTTCATTGTCATTGAGGGAATGGTCATTCCGTCCCTTTTCTTTGGAAATGAAATCCCATTTTACTTTATTCCAATTCTGATTTTGGGCTGATGGTTTTAAATGTCAATCCGGAATTAGAACTGCTTTGGCCACCGGTTTTTAGGTTGATGGTTTAAATGGATGGTCCGTTTCAACTTAAAAAATAAAAATGGCCAAAAACTATTAAACAAGTTGAACAAATCAATGGTCTAGGTCATGTTTGGTCCATTGCTGTGGACCTCATTCTCTTAATTCTTGCTTCTAGGCAAAAATGGACAAGAGTGAATAACATTAGAGTGTTTGGTTACAAAATTCTTGCCAAGGGTCACATTCTTTTTAAAATGAAAAATCAGCACTATAACACAAAAGTTGACTAGCCTGCAGCATGAAAAATAATCATACCCCATCTTACTCATTTCATTCCGAGGAAACTCTACCTATAAAACTGTTGTCATAGATGTTTACTTTTACGAAAGCATTTTTATAAAAGTACTTTTACACGAAAAAACTTTTGTACTTTTATGAAAGTACTTTTATAAAAGCACTTTTATGGAAGTACTTTCATGAAAGCACTTTTTACAGAAGTACTTTTATAAAAACACTTTCACGAAAGTACTTTTATGAAAGTACTTTTATGGAAGTACTTATATGAAAGCACTTTTACAAAAATACTTTTATGAAAGCACTTCTATGAAAGTACAAAAGCACTTTTGCAAAAATACTTTTATGAAAGCACTTTTATAAAAGCACTTTACGAAAGTACTTTTACAAAACATCTACACCAATTGGTGGTAAACATTGACTATTGGAGACCTAGGCTGGTGGTTTGTAAACACTCACACAAATGAGAAAGAATTCATTTTAGAAAAAAAGTGTTTGGTTCATAGCAATATTTTCTCATTCTACCTATTTTTATCCATTATTTTCCATTTTAGAATTTTATCTTGGGTAAGAATGAGAATTGAACCAAATATGGCCTTAATTGCCCGAGTCAGCGGGTCGCTGATTAAATCAATTGTTTTTGGCCAAGGACCGGATTAAAGGTGAAATAGAACTGATTGCCTGAATGATTCCTGGGTCAAATGGTTCAACTATCCGGGTCAACAGCAGTTTGAAAACACTGATCTGAACTAAAAAAATTATAAGAAAAGATCATTCCGATTTCAATTCCAAGAGATTTTGATTCCAATTCCACTGCAAGCCAAATGGACCCTTAAGTTTCAGAGTTTGGTGAAAATCATGGGTAACTTGTCATCACCGTTGCTTAGGTCTCTGTTTCTTCTGCAGTTTCTCACCTTAAATTTAATGGCAGGATGTTCACCGTCATCTCACCGCAAAACGACATGCAGAGGAATCTAGAGTGGCACCAGTTAGTTCAACAATTGACTCTAAAGTCAACCACTCCATTGATCTCTTTTTCCCAACCACTTTCACTTACTTTTGACGACATGGGCATGGCGTTAAAACTTAAACATCTCATTGGTAAGAAGCCAATTAGCCAAAGGTCATGTCTGTCCATTGATGATCTATTCAACTAGCTCGGCCGTCCATCTCCCGTGGAATTTTGTAAAATCTTAAATTCCGTTTGTCTCCTTTTTTTTCCGGTTGTGTTTTTTGTATTTTTTACTTGCTGCTTCATGGCAATGGCAGCTTCAGTTTCAGAGCATGGCCTTGGCCTCAACTCTCAAGTGGGGCATGTTTGAAAAATTGATAAACAGTTGAGGACGTTTAGTTCTTTTTGTTAGACTTGACATTTGAAAGGTCAACAATATATATACACACACACCAGAGGAAGACTTATTCATGGGCCGGGCCTGGATTTTACTTTTGTCAAATTTTGAAAGGACCCCAAGCTTGAAGCAGTGAAAATGTTCAAGGGCTGGGCCAGAATCCAGGCATGTGAATAGATTGTCAAGTTATACTCATTTTTGTTTATTGTATATGTACAATCTGGACAAGGCTTAGATGATGAAACACTTTTGGAAAAAAAAAAAAAAGATTACTTATAAGACATGAATCTTGAGCAATGGAAACCAACAAAGAATGTCACCTGATAACTAGGCTATGTTTGGTTTGACAGAAAATAAGGACTTTCCCTCAACTTCAACGTTCTCTCTTACTTTTTTATCAATCCAAACAGGCAAACACAGCTTTATGTTAACAGTCTGAATCCCGGTAGTTATCAAACCAAACAGGCAAACAGGCAAACACAGCTTTATGGATTACTACTTACTAGATCAACAAAATGATTGGACTGTTTGATTCATGACCCCGGTAGTCTTTCCTGCTTTTAACGGTCTGAATCCCGCGAATAATATGTTTGAGCAACTTCTCCATGACATAGTAAATACCACTGTTCAAAAAATTGGCCAGACTGGTCAGTCAGACCGTTTGAACCATAATTTTGTGCTCGGATGTCCGATTGGGTATTTTTTTTTTTTTTGGGTTAACTCTTCAAGATCTACATTTTCCAAGGTACCAAAGGCATCATCCTTAAGTAGAAAAGGAGAAAATATTAAAATAATTTATATAGCCCAGCTGCGATGGAGAAACATGATTTGTGTAGCTACTCACCATGATGGACCAAGGCCTCGTTGATTTCTACATAAAAGCACAGGACTTGATTTAAGAATAAACAATTAGATATTATCCTTATCGGCTAAAATCCCTTTAAATAATTAATTCTCTTCAAAGGCACCATCTACAACAATTTATTATTGACTTGTAAGTAATAGTCGTGATAAATTAAGTTGGGGAAAAGGCTAATCAAGGAAATATGGCCTGCAAATTAAAGCACAGATGAATAAAATATACATGACAAAACTACAGCTTCATGGACTTGGGACAGAAATCTCATCTCAGAACAACATTCAACTTGTTCTGCACTTCTTCTCTCACATTCCACTGCATCAAAAGCAATAAAAGTATCAGGGTTATTGGTCATTCCATTTGTAAAACATTTATGCAGGCTAAACCCTTTATTCATTTACTTTCACCTGGAACTGATTTATCTCCTCATCAGTAAGTGAGCGTTCCATTGATCGATATGCAATTCTATAACAATGGCTGGTCATTCCTTTCTTGTTTGTGAAATTGTCAATCAGTCGTACCTGAGAGATCAAATTGTCTATTGGACCATTTGCTTGGACAGAAACACATTATATTGAGATTATGAAAGAGTGTGAGTGTAAACAACAAGCCCCTGTACAACAAAGTCTCATACAGTTTGTGAAACCTAGCAGTAGGCCGCCAAGAAACAAGGCTAAAAACTAAGATCTATATTCAAGGGTTCAAAAGAAAAATATGGGAAGGACTTCCCTGAACTCATTATGAGCCAAGAGGATACCATATCCACAAACTTATGCAAACAGCTTCAATGGGAAATGCCCTGATGTAAAAAATTCTAGCATTTCTTTCCCCCTAAATTACCCCATAATGACTAATTGGATGACAATCCATAAGGTCTTGCTTTTCTTGCTAATTTTTTAATGGGATAAATTATAATTACTTATATATGCCCTGAAATTTGAAAAAACTACTTATATGTACCCTGTAGTTTTAAAAACTACTTATATGTAGTTTTAGAAACTACTTAATGGGAAAGCTTGTTGGGGTGTGGTTCCCTTAGCAGTGTTGTGGGCAATTTGGTCTGAAAGGAATAGTAGAATTTTTTAGCAGAAGTCGAATCCAGAGGAGGTGGTTATCAATTCTGCAGTTGGCATGTTGAGAGCATGGCTGTCTACTCTTACATGTTTCAGTCCCGATGATCTCTCATCCTTTTTTTTTTTGATAGGAAACGGTAACTTTCATCAGATAAAACCATAAGAAACAACTGTCACCTTCCAAAGTAAAAGGTGACCCCTGAATAACAAAAATCTTACAGCACTGCACAAAACAAAAACTCCCGATTCACCCCCTGTTTTGCTAGGTAGTCAGCTAAAGCATTTGCTGACCTCCTAGACCAATACACTTTTGCATCCAGCTCCCTTGTGAGGCTCAAT